TTTAAATATTTTCCGCTAAGTAAAATTTATTCCCAGACACTTTTTGACTCATTGATTGAGGCGCTTGAGAGCGACCTAAATTAGTCTTTATTTAGAAAGCAATATAAATCAATGTTTAATATTTAATATAATGCTAAAGATAAATTGAGATCTTGCAATTTATAAAAATAATACAAACCAAACTTTGTGATATTTCAATCTAATTTCGGGGATCGTGGATCTTAATATCTCATGATATTTCATGATCCTGATCCAATTTGGATGATTTTGGTATCATTCGAATCGTCTCACTGAGAGGAGTCTATTGGCACCAAAATAATCCAAACTGGGTCACAGTATCCCAAGATATATGATATATTTTCCTATTTTTAGAGACCAATTCTATTTCTGTAAATTGTATGTCACGTGACCCTGTGATCTAATTTGGATGATGTGTAATTCGAATTGTCTCACTGAGATGAATCTAATGGTATCAAAAATAATACAAATTGGATCACGGGTCCAGATATATAAGGTATTTTTAGGGATCAAATCTATTCCGTGGATTGTATATCTCATGACTCTGTGAATGATTTGATACCATTAGATTCGTCTCAGTGAGACGATTCGAATGATACCAAAATTATCCAAATTGGATCACGGGATCCCGATCTACGAAAATAAAATTGATTTTTTATACATACCTTACAATTAAGCAACCAAGTCTATTAATAAAATCTTGTCCAATTTCTGTAAAAATTTTATATTACATGTAATTTAGCATTGCTAACACATTTACTTAGCAAACGTTGTTTAATTTACTTAACAAAAAATTATGTCTATTATATGTCCACGGAATTAGGACTATGGCTTTTAAATTTATACAAATTATACGAATTGTAGCTTTTGTTATTAAAAAAAATTTATAATATATTATAAAAAAAATTTATTGTTGAATAATAAATTGATTATATATTTTATATATTAAGTTTTACAAATAAATATTAACTTTTGAAAAACTTTATATCGATATGTAACAAAAAAAAAATCCCCGGAAATAGGCATGATCACCTTCCGGGTTGGTATGCTGATTTTTTGTTCATCATATTTGTCCTTTCATATGTAACGTCGGTAATGCCCTTTTGATAAGCGCTCAAACGAGTTTAGACGATACAATTTGATCGGAGATTAAATTACATATTTCTAAAAATGTAAATTTCATAAATAATATCAACAACTGTTTAGAGCCTTGCGTACATATTAACGTTAATATTACTTTCTAAGTTAAGCAATATAAATGTAGAATTTTTGCAAAATAAAATAGTGAATATAATAAAAACTTTAATAAATATATTTTTAACCCGAGCCATTTCAATTAGTTTGTAATTTTATATAAAGATACCGTTTGATAAAAATTTGTTTGTAAAAAAAAAATAAATTATTAATTTTATTCAAAATTAATAATCATAATGCCATCAAAATTCCAAAAACTTAGTAAACTTGCACTTCTTGTTGCATTAATAATTTTTTATTTGTTGCCTACAGAATCGTATTTAACTCCACGATCAAAGGCAAAAGGTCAAGTAAAAGATGGATGTACGAAATTAGCTAAAAACATTTTATCTTCACCCAGTTATGATAATGTTAAAGCATGTATCAAAGGATTCAAGTACGATGCTAAACGAGCAAAACAAGTAAATATTATTATTACAATTCTTAATTTCGAAATATTATTAAGTCGATTTAACATGTATAGCAGATAGTACATACTATATTTATTAATACATAATATGAATTATTTTCATAAAAGATGATCGATATTGCAGAAGCAGTTTTTCTAGATTTCTATAGTTTAGCTGACCAAGCCAATGAAATTCCCAAAAATGGTTCTAATTTTAAACCTACAGACTTTAAACCTATAGACTTGAAGAAAGAACTGAACTCGTTACGTGATAAAAAATTTAAATCTGATTTTGAATTCATGGTATGTATATTTATGCTATACAATTTTCTTACAGCAGACCGATACCCCGTGTTATATGATATTTTATGCACGTTATTTTGAAATTTTCATTAATAAAAATTATTATACTGGATGTGTTGTACGATGCAATAAAATACTCATCATTTCACTCTGGATGATAGCAAAAAGCTAATATGTAATCCTTTAAATAATTAGACGACTTTAAGAAACCTAATTGCAGATTCAAGAGATCTGGGTGTTCGATTTAATCAAGCATTGGCTTCTCTTACTAAGCGTTTTGATAAATGGCTTATTGCTGAGGGGACAAACCAATTTGCATATAGGTTTGATTTACCTGAAACCTCTAATATCAGTTATACATTACTTTGTTCTGGAAAAAAACGCAATTTAGTCAGGAATTGGGATATAAACTTCCTTGGTGATACTGATTTTGATGACAGCAAAAGTTATTTTAAAAAAAATTGTTTATATAATTCATTTCAGTCTGCGAAAAATACATCATTAGAAATGAATTATAATCAAACAACTGCATCTCATAGTAATAATAAAACCACTAAATATCAACTTGAACCAGTGTTAGATGCAAAAAATACATCATTAGAAACGAATTCTAATCAAACTACTACACCTCAGAGTAATAATCAAACCACTAAATCTCAACTTGAACCAGTGGTAGATACAAAAGATGCACATTTTTACTTGGTTGGTGATATTGGTGTTGCCCAAATTACTAGTGTAGATTTTGGATTTGATGCATTGCGTGATATACGGTTAGGTTTTCGAACATTATTCAAAAAAAAGGCTAAAAAGGTATAAAAATTTAATAAAACATTATATTATTTTCATCTCATAATTCAATTAAATTAAATTTTTTATTTTTTATTTTTTAACAGCTTGTTATAGATTTATCAAATAATCCAGGTGGTGCTATTGATGCAGCCCAAGTCATAAGTTTTCTTCTGATTCCACCAAATAATTTTAGCTTTTTTCCACGTGATATGAAGATTACAAATATTTCTGAACCTTTGGTAGGACCTGGAAGCTTTTTCGATCCAGACGAGCTTTCTCCATTCCCTTCGGGAGGAAATTTTTCTAGTATAGAAAATTTTATAGGCAAAAACTTTGTTAAAATAGGCAATAAAACTTTAAGATATTCTAACAAATTCGACTATAAACTTACAAGAAATCAATTAAAAGTAATTGAAAATAATAAGGAGTATCCGTGGACAAGAAACAATACTATAATTTTGACTAATGGATATTGTGGGTCAGCCTGTGCGCTAATATCTCAATATTTAGCCGAGATAGGCCAATTTCCTACTGTCGCAGTTGGTGGTTTATATAATACTTCTTTATCATTTGCTTCTTTTACTGGTGGAGAATTTTTTAGCTATGATGGGAGTGTTAAACTTAAGGATATCCCTAGCTTGCCAGTATCGGGTGAGCTTCAATTTACTGCAAGCAAGTCTTATAGCATTCTCGAAAAAAATGAAGTTTTAGACTTTTCATATAGACCTTCTAAATATAGACTTTATTACGATGATAAAAGTGCTAGAGATCCTAGTCTATTGTGGAGTAAGGCCGCTGATTTTTTATAATTTGAAAGCTAGCAGATAACTTATGAGTATTTTTATTATATCATATAAAGTAGCTGGAATACCTATAAAATAGGAATTGAATTCTTAAAAGATTCTTTTTTATATTTTTAGTAAGTATTGAAAGTATTCTTTTTTTACTTAGCACAAATTAGCTTACGTATTATTAATTACTTTTCTACATATAATAATCGTTATTATTATAATTAAGAAATTATTTTTGTTTTAACACATAATAATAATAAACAGTTCTAATTAAATTTCGCCTAATAAACCATCTTTTACATTCTTGTAAAATTTCAATAAAAATCTAATCTTTTGCTACATAATAACACGAAAAATCGATGATAGTACAGTATAAAAAAAAATTCTTTATTTATCGTTCTTAATCACTAGCACATGTTTAATTAATGTGCATAATAAAGTATTATATAATCAAGGACATTTTATACATATTGAATAAACTATCCGTTGGATATCTACTCTTTCTGAATTCGAAATATTGCATATTCTGCTACACAAAAGTAAGATTGGTCACTTTGATTTCTAATTGCTTTTTCATATGAATAATGATTACAATAACAATTATTAGAGTAATAGAAATTATCACTCATATAAATATCATGACCACTTCCAAAAATTGGTCCATAATTACGATTACAATAAATCGCAGATGATGAATTTCTTACATGGCTTAAAATAGAGCCATTTTTCAATGAAAAAATAAAGCAATCATTACATCTCACATAATTCCTAATCGGTTCATCCCGTTGGATTGGATTATACCCACCAAGAATTTCATCAGTACCATTAACCTTCATTATTACAACAAAGTTAGCTTGCCCATTACATAAATTCCAAAATGATTGAGCAGTAACACATCTTTTGTTACATGGAGAAGTAATTTAAATTTATATGGATTTTTAGTTACTGAATATGCTTCAATTTTTTTATCAACCCATGATGCTATTTCTGCTGCATGAGCTTCATTGATAACTGTTGAAGAAAATGGTTCAGTTACTATAGATGACAATGTTGATTTTAAAATTTTACGAGGTGGAAGAGTTGTTGATAATATTTGGCTAAGAAATTTTCGGAATATATCATCCCAAATATTTTCTTCAAGAATATTTTTATACGGTTTCATTTTATCAATAATATCTTTATTTGGCATTTGAAAATTGCGGACAAGAGGTAAACAATTCCGTAAAGTAGTCTTTAAGGTTAAAAAGTTTCCATGAGAACAATCATTAAGGTCGGTTGGAAAATCTGTATTTTGAGCAATTCCCCATTTCCCTTCATCCATTTGTAAATCATCTTGTTTAATGAGTGAAATTAGTGTATATTCTGGAAGAGAGGTAAAATTTTCTGACTAAAAAATCTTCTCTGGATATTTTACCAAAATATCGGTGCTCCATTTTTGTAATTCTTCAAGTATTTCATTTTGAAAACTCTTATGATAAGCATGAGCAAAATTTAAACTGAGCCAGTGTGCATTTTTTTAATTAATTGTGCTTTAAAATGTTTTGCCAATTCATCAAGATGAAACTCGGAAGCAACAATGATGAGTTTAAAAATAAATGATGCTCCTTGACCTTTCTCTAAAGAAACCACTCCTCCGTAAATATACCTTGCTTAAATTAATAATTTAAAATTAGTCTCCGCATACACAAGATATATAAATAGAGTAACCATCATTTTAGTGAACTTGTAAAATTTATGCCCCTAAGATAAGATTTAATTTACTAGCTCACAAAAATATATAGCTTACTTAATAAATACTTCAAATTGTTGAATAGAAATATGTCTTAAATTAAATCTTTTTAATGTTGTTTTTACCTTTGCTTTTATTGGCTAATTTATCACGAAAATACAAAGATCTATATTTTTAAAATACTAGTATGTGCATGGAATATTTTATTAAATGGTGACTCCCCAACATTAATGATTACATTAAAATCTTCTTTATCATCAAGAAGTTCAAGGCAATCATTTGAAAGCTTTTCAAAAAACTTTGTCATTTTTGGAATTATTATGACATTGATACTTGATATACAAGATCGAGCCAAAACGTAATTATTGCGAAGAATAATGTTAATTAGTTAAACGATAAAAGTGATTTTTACATAGTGGTATTATATATCGGCCAATATGACCTTTCATTCTACATTTGTTGGCTTTGATAAAAATTAGAGCAATTAAGTAAATATATTATTTTTTTATTTAATATCTAATAAATTGAATTTATATAGTGCCGTTTTTTTTAAAAAACTGCTGAAAACTAAAATTAACCAATCAGAGACATATTTTCAGTTTCAACAAAATTTTGGCATCAGACGTCAATATATAAAAAGTTTTAATCCATTAAAAAAGTTTTAAATACAGGTTAAACTTTTTTTTCATCCCTAACACCATGACAATAGTTAACAAAATTTATGATACAGAGCATAGATAGATTAGGATATACTAAACTCGTAATAAAGCAAAGATTGTGTGAAAGTTTTAATTATAAGTCCAATGATATAGAAAATATATTTATTATGCGACAAGAATATATGTAGACTTTCATCATTATTAAAAACTTGTTAAACATAATAACTTAGTCTTTTCGGCCTTTTCTCTCTTTCGATTACTGGCAAGTAAGTAAATCTTTCTTCCTTTTCATAAAGTCGATTATACCAACTCAAATCATTAAATTCCTTCTTTATTAATTCTTTTATATAAATCTTCAATTATTTCATCCTTTCTTTGTTTGAAAAAGATAGCTATAAATTTGTATCATCTTCCTCCTCATCACGAAAGAATTGCTGTTTTTTTCCCATTAAAAAACAAGCATCTTTTGTTATCTCCCCTAAATCTCTTAACAGAATTTCCGAGAAAACTTTCCACACTTCCAAACCCTTTTAATACAAGTTCGATTAACCTTATTTTATATAGAAAATTTTTGTACAATGTTTCTCTTACCATCACTGGTTACAAAAATAAACTCAATGTTTTCATTGCTTATTTCAATAAAACCTGATAGAGCTTAAATTTGATAAAAAATTAATAGGTCTGTATTTTTTTTTAAGAAAAAAGAATTATACAATTGAACTTACTAGAATATCTTCTAATAATTTCTCTCTCTTGAGGGAATCATGAGGAAATTTTTTACCAGCAAAATTATGTGTATTTCCAAAAAAAAGTAGTTATCTTCAATGCGCCAACACCAGTGTTATTATCAAGCCAATATTTTGGTCTATCACGAATGCTATTGCGGAAAACGTGAGGATCCTCTACTTCTTCAAATAACATCGCATATTAATTACAAGTATCCAAATTATGGTCTACAGTAATTCTATTTATTTCTCCACTTTTGTAACCAACATAAGCAGGAGAGTCCCCTCGGTGTACCTTTAAAAATTGATATTGCAAAAATAAAGTGAACTTTAAATAGCTTTTGATTATTGTCAAAAAACAATATATTACTTACTACGTATGTAGTTTTATTGAAGATTAAAGCAATTGTAGCAGTTGTACCTACAATACCTTCGAATTCATAGCCTTCTTGCTTTTTAACTATCTCTTTATTGAGACTTTCAAATACATGATTAAAGATTTCTTTGATTTTATCTTTATTGGGTTCACCATCAAGTTTTTGCAATTCTTTTTCTAACAAGGTTTCATTAATACTATTGCTGCTAATTAAAGAATTTAACACAAGCTCAACAATCTCATTTTTTCTGATACCTATTGCAGTAATATATTTTAATAAGATATTTTGATGAAGCATTTTGTTAAATTATACTTTAAAGAATTTATACTAATGAATTTGTAATAACAAAAAAAAACATATATTGAGTGCTAACTCGTTTAAATAAAGGTAAAAAGCAAAAACTTCCAAGATTAGACAAAGAGTTGTTTATAAAAACTTAAAGGGTTATACTGAAGAAGAAAGTTGCACGAATGGGTCTTAGCTGTAATTTTAAAATCATACGCATAATTTTAAATATAAATATAAATAAACATATATAATACGTAATAATAATAATTTTTATTTAGGTTCAACGAAATTTACATTATCCATTAATTGAAAATCATATGTGAGAAAATTCACATATCACTTAATAATGCACAATTTTCTAGAATAATTAATTCAATGTTCTTGACAACAATAATAATGAATAAAATGAGATTGATTGAAAATTATCGAACAATAAAAAATATAAAAAATCTTTATGAGGTTGGCTTATCTAATATTTTTAGTGACAGCATAATAAATAGAAGTGTCTGATATCGATAATACTTTAGTATAGTCTTATGATCTTCTGCAGCGAAAGGAATGATAAAAAACATTGAATAAAACCTCAGACAATTCAAAAGAAGGTCGGCAGTCATACTCGTTACGTGAAAAATAAACAGTATGTGACAATTAGGGTCACGCGGGCCAATCAGATCTAAGATTTTGCAGATTAACTATTCTGGTGTACACAGTTCTATCGGTTCTATCAGATAATTCCAGAAAAATAAGAATAATTGAACTTAAAAAATGAAGAAATTGGAAATTTGAAAAAATGGGCTGGCAGGTAATGCAAACCGAAAAAATTAACTTGTGTGATTTTACATAACTTACTCGCTATTTTGGTAATAAACAGTATCGGTATGTAGTTAAGGTTGTGTTAGTTTGAATTGAAATTATTATCAAGTGTCACTTACTCGCTATATTTGTAACACAGTATGTGTCGTTAATTTGTATTGGAATTATTATTTCTGTTACTAGCTATTCCAGGCAAATGAATATCGGGGGAATGTTAGGTGTAATTCGGGTAAAACGTACGCCTTAAAATCCCTACTCGTTAGGGTAAACCGGGAAGGGTTTGCGTAACGTTAAACGATAATACTACTATGTCTCGAAAGAGGACATTCGATTTGGCAGAGCCAAAGTATATAGTTTATTTATTATGATGTTCGTGAGACACCTTACAACTTAATAAATGCTCACGCTTATATAATAATTACATATCTGCTTATTATGCTATTTACGCTAATTATGCTAGTTCTTTGCTACATGCTAGTTATGCTATTTCGATTAGTCCTACTATTTATGCTAAATCTACCTACTATACTAATTTCGCTAAATCTGCTATTTCTGCAAGTTATACTAAATATGAATGTAAACAATTATGCAATCGATCCATAATTTGCGCCTAATGCATCGGCGATCTTTTTCCAATCGTTACATAGGGAAAAGAAATACATACGTATGTACTTACATAATGTATACATAAAGTTCGTAATATAGAAACAGTGATAGATTTCTTAAATTTGTGATGATAAATGCTAGAAATGAAGATTATGCTTAGTTGAATGCAAAAAGAATGTGTTATTCGGAGATGAAATGAGTAACCTTAATATCTTTTTCGAGAATATCATTTGTATTTTTCTGAGTCCTATCCATATAAAAAATGGTGCACAGAATTTATGGTCAAACATGGGTACGTGACAGCACGAGAGTATACAGAACTATATGGATTATAACCGGGATGGTGCACGGGAATGGTCACGTAAAAAGGCGCACGTAATAGCGTGCTTTTTTACGTGCTTTCCCTGCATTTTTTCTTATAGTTACGTATGTAGCCGTTTATTATTTCGTACACATGCCGTGCACATGAAAAAATTTCGTGTAATTACGTGTTCGTCGATTTTGCGTGTATACAGATTCCGTGCAACTCCGTGCTTTGGATGTGCTATATTCCATGTAGTCATGTGTAATTACGTGTAAAAATTTCTTATAGGGATATTAGTACTTCTAAAATATTATTTATGTCTTTAATATGTAATTTTAAATATATACGTATATAAATATATAAAGTTCGAATGAATATTCACAATTGTAAAAAGTATTGAAGGAACTGTTAATATTTGGATTTAAAGTATTAACTTTCCTTAAACTATTTTTAAAATTGGTAACCACATATATATTCTTTTATTAATATCCATTAAGGTTGTTTACCAATTTTTTAATAAAAAAAAATTACTTAATGATTTATTTATTTTATTTAATGAAATTTATTTTTAAAACTATTTAACATTTAATAAATAAACTTTTTATATACAATCGACTCTATATAATGAACTTTGAACTTTAATTTTAAATGTGAGCTTTAATAAACAGAATAATTTCCCATAATGAACCTTTTTTCTTTCCGAACCATCAGTTATAGAAATAATTGACTAATTTTTTTTATGACAATAAAAGTAAATATTATATAAAAACTAAGAAAAATTTTCTCTACAAAAATAAAAATAAATTTCGGAAAGGTCATTTATTAACAATAAAGGATTTATTACTGTTTTAGAATGTGACTAAAAAAAAAAATTTAATATTTTGTATACTCTTTGTATAATAGCTTAAAATCATTAGTGGCCAAAAATTTTTTGAATACTTTAAATATATTAATTATATAATAAACCTTTGTTTTTTTTTTTGTGAACTTATAAGATAATACATAATATTGATAAGTTCGAAATTTTTTTTACGTGAATATAATGACGATATGAAGATTTAGTGAACTTTAGCTTTTTTTTATAAATGTTAAATATAACATTAATTATGTTGAATATGCTATTATTTTTTTTGTTTAACATTGACATTTATTCTTCTATCAATGAAAATTAAAGAATGATTTGAGTGAATTAATAAAATTCTTTGGTTGACGTAGAATATAATACTGTCATTGTACTACATATACATCACTATTAGTTATTTGTATCATTTCAAGAGAAAAACTTATTTTTCGGGATAAACTTATATCATATTACAGAGGTACCATAAATTTGCATAGTAAAGTTTTCATTCTGATCTGAACGTTAATATGGGGGCAACCATTGCAGGTATGGACAGTAAAGCCCTCCAATATTATATAAATAAGCTTACAAGTCAAAAATAAATAAAGTTTACGATCACTGATTTCAAAATATTAATTCGAAATCAGAAACCCTGAGCATTAGGTTTGAATCACCCTAATAGACTAATCTACGAAACATTATATAATTATTAGAATAATACAAAATTATGTTCGTAAATATTTATTTTCTTATGTCCAAATTCTAAACTAGAATAATTCAAGAAAATTTAGCCATTAAGAATAGTCGAATAGATTTAGATTTATTAATATAGTTCGCAAAATCAGTACATCTAGCACATGTACTGTACCATCCCTTTCAACATGTCTATACGTGCTGTAAACATACATCACGTGTTATTCTGGAACGTACCATACCGAATATTACCGAACTACTCGGACCACTTTTCTTAGCGTTAGGGTAATTAATGATAAGCATAAATGAGTTACAATCGAAAAATATAAAGAGGATAGATTCTATAGATTTTGTGGTTAAGACAAATTCTGTAATTTAACGTGATAAAATTTTGTTAACTTGTGATTTTAATTGATTTTAATGCAATTACAAAAAAAAAATTTATTTACCTAATTTTTTTTTTTTTTTTAAATCATATAATTCTGTAATTCTCCGGTGAACATGCTCGTGATTTACGTTGATTTATTGTATACTTTTCTACTTTTCCGAAACTTCCCAGCACTGGCCTGAATTTTATGGTCAAATCCCGTAATTTTTTTTACGTGACTCAAAATAGAATTTTGAATAGCACCATTTTTCAAAGAAAAAAAAAATAAAACTATCATTGCAAAGTCTTATAGTACTGCGTTTTACCTGATTTATCCTAACCGACAGGATTATAACCACCAAGGATTTCATCAGTACCTTTAGCCTTCATAATTATGACTTGCTTATCGCATAAATTCCAAAATGAATCTCTGGTAAACCCATCTCTAGTTCCACGAAGAAGTAATTAATTTCTTCTGCATGTGCTTCATTGATAACTGCCGAAAATGATTCATCTGGTAATTTTGGTGTTAAAATTACACGAGAAGAAGGATTAATGATGATACTTGCCGATTTGGTGACATAAATTTATATTATATAAAATTTTGAAGGTTTTTTTTAATTATTTGTTGATATGATTGTACATTATCGATAATTTCATCACTAGACATTTGAAATAACGAATACGAACAATTTCGTAGTCTTCCTTTAGGATCAGGTGGGAGTCCAGGATTTTGAGCGATTCCCCATCTGATAACACGATTCCAAATTTTTACTTCCATTTGTAAGTCAAGATATTTTACCACAATATCATTGCATTGCTTTTGTAATTCTTGAAGAGAAACTTTCCTGATAAATACGACAGAAATGTAAACGAAGCCAATGAGCTAAAAATTTTTTCAAAATGTTTGGCTAATTCATCAAAAAGGAATTCATAAGCAATAAGCATAAGCTGTATATACAGTAGATTAAATCAAGTGTTTTAATATTATTCTTGTCTTTATTGATATTCGCCAATTCATTTCATTAAGAAAATATAAAGATCTGTATCTTAAAATTTCTGAATGTTGTAGTCGAAATAAAGTTAAAATTAAACCGAATGAACATAAGATATCTGTTTATTATCAAAAAGTTATAGAGATGGACCGAACAAATGGATCATATGCTCTTGGCCCCTGTTATATAAAACGAATTGAAGAAGACGATGAATATAAAGCACATACTTATTATCAAAGATCAGCGAAGGTAGAGCACAATAATGAAGCGTTTAAACATGATCACAATGTGCTTGAAATATTTTAACGTTTGGTGATTCGCAAACTTTAATGATCTTTGTCATCAGGAAGTTCAAGATAACCATTTGAAAGTTTTTCAAAGAATTTTATC